ATGGCCCCAAAATCCGCAAAGCTAGGAGGAAGTGAGTCCGCTGTCACGCTCAAAACAATCTCTGCATAGGACTTAATGCTCTACTGCAGAGGATCGATTGCTTACGTTATTGACCTGGGCATCATCCGGAATAGTAAAGCGATGAGCTCAGCTGTCCTGGGGTCCGGGTTTCCTTCCACCCCAACAATCTGTTTGACACAATCGCAGCATTTAGGGACACCAAGTCGCAACTTTACTTCCCAATTGCACTGCAAGCTCTTTGATTTGTGAATGACCATTGTCGGTAATGTTCAGCAAGGTGATCGTCGGAATGCGAATCCGTTAAGCTCAAAGAGGCACACCGCCCTTGCATCACAACGCAGTAGTTGCGATGGGAATGCAGCCACAAGATGAAATCGCAGAGCCGGCAGTCTCCGTGCCACTTTTGACACAACAGCGGCTTGCATTTTATGAGCGCAGCTTGCTAACGGACGGAGATATGCTTCTGCACATCCATGCCCAGCGGAAAAACTGAAATGAGTCTTGTTAATGGCGCGCCGATTCCCTATCCCGATTTTCCTCCTATCGAAACCGATCACCTTAAGCTTTTCTACTATCCCTTCGGCCAGATCAAATACGCAATCTCATGCCACCTGTGTACAAGGTTCAGTATCTGCTGCAGAACGCGCCTTCGGGGCTCATTCCATGATTCCAAGGCCAAATCGAGCGCTGAATGGAGGGTTTGGTGGAATGTGAGCTCCCTTCATTTCAATCTCGAGCAGACAGAGTCCCTCTCGCGAATCTTCGCAGAGCCGCCAGTATTCTGAATGCATCGGGCAGTTCGCGAGGCCCGGGGTGTCCAGAGATCATCGGTGCCAATCGGTGCGGCACGATGCCCCTCGATCTCAGAAACGGAGCGATTCCTGCGGCACGATGGTCAGGATTCATGCGAGCGCTCTCACCATTCGCAGCCGCGCTTCCACGCCCTCCACGAATTTCGGTGCCCGTCTCCCGCTGGCCGCCTGGGCGATGGAATCCTCCTCCATTGCGGCAAGCAGCGACAGCAGCTCGTCTTGCGAGACGTCCGGGTCCCGCAGCCTCGCCTGCGGCGCGGCAAGTCCGCGGCGCGTGACTCGCGGACAGCTCAGAGCGACGGAAAGGGCACTGAATTGCCCTCACGCCTCGCCATTGTTAATGTGTGAACCCGCCGCTGTCGTGGCGGTAGACGTCAGCCACATGGGGCGCACCCGCGGCGGCGGGGCCTTCCCAAGGGCAGGGCCCCGCCACTACGGGCGCGCCACATCTGGGGGCTATGGGCCTTGCATCGGCTTTCCAGGCGATCGTTCGCACCAGCATGGTGGCGGGTCCCGTTCTCCTCATTGCGATCGTTGCCCGCGCCGCTGGGGCGCCAGTCGACGGCTGGCCGCCTTTCCCGCGTATGCTCAGCGCATGTGATGCGGCGGTCCGCAAAGCGATGGGGAGATCCTCCAGTCCGTGGACCCGACCGTGCGCAGCCTCTGTACGGAAGCGCGCTCACAACTCAATATATGGGGGGCTTGCGCGCGTGGGCGGCGCCCCCAGAATGGCTGCCCCCCCCCCCGGATTTCGAATTCTGGGTCGCAAGGGGGAATGTTGAGCGTTTCGCACGATAGAGACTGAATTTCCAGTGGGTGGGGCTTTTGTACAGGCACGGTAACTACTGGGCCAGTAAGAAAGGGGTATGCTCGCTGCGGATGTATTGCAGTCGTCGCTTGGATGCGGGCGCATGCCCGCAAATTTGTAAATTTGCATTTAAGTGCAATTCGCAACCGCTAGGAAAAAAGGGCCAAATAACGCGTGTTCAAACGTGTGCAAAGTTTACGGGTTTGTGTTATTTTTGTGTTCTTAGCGTGCATAACTTTGATGAAATGTGTTTTATGTGTTTTTGCAAAAGTATTATTTGGTCCTTTTTCTGCTAGTGAACCGGATGGGACTGCATCAGCGGCGGCTCCAGTCAGGAGTCTTCATTTGAGAGCTCTTCTGTGATGTATACCCGCTCATGAGCAAGGTAGTCTGCCAAGGTCGCCTGTGTTTCATCCAGTACCTGGACGCCATATACGCATGTGGTGCTGCGCAAACAGGCTTAAAATTCGTCTATACATCACTACAGCAATTGCTGGATCACTAGTCAAAAGTTGTCGTTAATGAATGATGACACATGAACGTCAATTTGTGAGGTGACGTCACCCTATAAAGTGCGAATCACAACACGGCCACAATGCCGACATTGCAGCCCTATCGTGCATTCGCGTCCTGAAACCCGGCAAGAGTACCGTTTTGAAATGTGTTGTTTCCCTTGTTGTAATGCCAGAGACTGAAATTTACAGGTTCAGCCAAAAGTATGATTCCACATTACAGGGAAATCTCCTGAAGCGGCGAGAACTTGAGAAGGCCATCCATTCAACGGGAGTCCATCGTAAGACTGCCACACATGACAACATTGCATCGCCTACCGCGCCACTGCGATTCAGAGTGACAAGGTCGACCAGAAATCGCGCTGCCAAAAGGCTCGAAATATACTCGTTCTGAGCTTCCAGGCCTGGGAGGAAAACCTTAGGGTTTTTGATATCATGATCGTCTTGGCAGTGTCCATCTAATACCAAAAAACACGCCACCGTGCTTGTGCCCTCTCGGTTACATGCTGGTCTGTCATATGTTGCTTAAAGAATTGCACCTTGTAGCGCATGTCCCAACAAGGATGCCACGAGATTGTTAAATTACCGCATTTGGCGATTGACCGTCGTTGAGCGGCTGACAAGCCAGTGGAAAGGCCCCTCAGTTCCCTCTCAGAGACTACAGAGTCTATATGTGTTGTGCAGCGCCCCTCAATGTGTTGTTGTGCAGGCTTGGTCTTTACGGTATAAACACTGAGTGTTTTCGTGGATTTACAGTATTTACATGGTATCATTACCCACCCCCTATTAGTATCCACCCCCTCTTTGGGGTTCGAAATGGCTTTAGCATCCATGACCCGGTGTTAGTATCCACACCCCTAATCCCAACAGAAACGAATGAAGGTGCGGATGGTGGCAAAGGTTGTCGGTGGCTGGTGTTGGGTTGCATTGCCCAATCTGAGCCAAACCGCGTTCCCTGGCGATCGGGTCTGGGTGGATGCCATGAAGGAAGAATTTCGAAGGAGGCGCAAAAGGTTGTGGGGTCCACTGGCCGCCGTTGAGGCTTTCAGCGCAAGATCGCTGGGCAGGGACTGACGCCGCAAGGTGCGATCAAAGAAGCAGTGGAGAATCAAGGCGCCCTGGCTCCTAGATTGAGCCAACCCTTGCTCTCCCTTCTATATGGTCTGTTGTGTCATGAGTTTGACAGCAGTTCCTTTAGTCCATTGCTCAGCGTCCATCGGGCCCACTCCCAATTCGTACACCACATTGGCTACCAGGCCACAAGCCCAATCACAGATCCCATCAGCAATCCCATCCGGCATCAGCGCTGATGCCGGATAGCCCGGGAAAACGCTGGGGGCCAAGCCCATCGTCACGATGCGGCGCCCCATTGTATTGAGACCCATGTTTGTCCTCGTTCTTTGCATCACAGGGGAAAATGCGTCTCGAGCATGCCAGCGAACCCCTGTTGCCCAAATTGCCAATCGCCCCTACCTATTGCAACCCCAAGACCAAGCCGCTGGCAACTTTCGGTAATAGCATTTGTCACTAATAGGAGTGCGGTGCTTGTGATTCTTTTTAACTTTGACTTGGTGATGTGGCTACCTGTGCACTGCATGTTGCATTGTTTCAAGCTTATTTTGGGGCATTTCGTGGCCCATTTATCAAAAATTTTCTTTGCCTACTACTTGGATCAGGGTTATAAACTGTGTTGGTATCTATAACCCACTGTTAGTATGAATTTGGGGGTCTAATGCATGCCTACTAATACCGGGTAAATAATTTACGCCTAAAATAGTATTGGCGTTTTGCGTATAAATATGCGTGAAACTATGTAAATATTTACCAGGTGTGCATAGAGGTAGTAGTTGCAGGCTCGAGGAGTCTAGGGAATGGTAGCCAGATGCGCTGGAGTGAGCAGAAGACGATTTTTTATGCGACAACGTCTTTGGCCTTGCTGGGGCGAGGTGGACGCTGTGTTGCAGGTGCTCGAGGTGGTGAAGGAGTGGCCATTGTATGCGAATTCGTCATGTGACGTGGGTTGTCTCAACGAGCAGTAAATATAGCAATAAATATAGCAGCAAAAATAGCCCATTTGGCATTTTATGTTTTTACACGTAAAAACGTAAACATAAAAACGTAAATGTCAACGTAAAACTAAATTTGTTGTTGTGTGTTTTTCCCATATTTCTGTTACGCCAAGCCATGCCAGACAACACGTTTCTTACGATTAGCTACAACTTGGATGTATCTAAATGAATGGCTGCATCAGTTGGACCACAGCAGAGGTACTAATAACCTATTCCGCCTGCACACAAAGCTTTTAATTGACGTGGTGTGGCTCAATGAATACAACCGCCTAATAAGGGGAGCATCTGCATACAGTTAGTTAGAGGTCCCTAGCTCAGGAACTCGGGTGCATGCCCCAACATGCACAACATGCATGCCCCAATGCTCTCCTCAAGAAGCTGCCAGGAAGAAGTGCTTTTTCCTGGCACTGCTCATACTCCTGGGGCAATACCCTTGTTGCTGCTGTAAAGTAACACAATATTCGGCAACAACGTCGATGCGAGGGCCAGTGTGGACGAGACCATATCGCCCACCAACACCAGCCTAGCCGCACTCCCACCCTGCCGCAGCACGGGTGCGACCGTGATGTGCGCCACGCGAATCAAACTCCTACTCCTACTTACATTTCAATCCATTCAGAAATGATGCAACATCAGATGCTTCGAGCCCCATGACCAACCTAACCCTGCACAAGCTGTACTTGAGAAGTCGGGACTCAGCTCCGCTCTGGGGGCTAAAGGTACCGAGGGTCCAAACCAACGGCAGCGCCGTTCCGCAATCTGGACAAGCGGTAAAGCTCTATCCGCAGGGCTGCGGGTGAAGCAGCGCCTCGCCTCCTTTCTCCCCAGATTCTGGACTCTTTCCCCTGCGTCTCCTTCCCCCCCGACCTTTCCCAACGGCGGCCAGGTCGTAAACGTACACGGCCACGCCCCTGCCCACGACCTCCTCCTCCACCACCCTCTCCACATCGCCCCACCTGCCCCCCGCCAGGCCGCATCCGATCCTGGGCATGTGCACGCTGGCCCCTTCACCCGCCGCGAAGGCGGCCACCCTGGAGAGGCACGCCCGCAGGGCGTCGTAGCGGATGGGGGCGGCGCCGCGGGAGCGCCGCACGCCCCGCTGCGCCACCATGTTCGCCACCCACAGCGCGCCCGCGGACACTTGCACGCACTGCACCTGACCGAGCTCGAAGTCGGGCTGGTCGGAGCCGCGGCCCCTGGCCCACAGCCGGTAGCGGTGCTCGGGGGTCGCCCACCTCCTGGAGATCGCCATCACGAAGCCCTTTCCCCACTTTCCCTGCCCGAGGGTTGGATCCGGGCGTCAGCGTCGCGTTTGCGCTGCGCGGAAACGCTTTGCGGACCCGCCCGCGCCCGAGGGGCAGATCTTGGGGCCATCCGCCCCCTTGCGCGCTCGCCGCTCCATGCCGGCGCGCCAATAAAGACGTGTCGAAGCAGACCCATCGATGCCACTGCGAGAATCTTTCGCTTCGAATTCGCGCAGCCAGCAGGGGTGAGAATTGGCGTTGCGTACGATGTCATTGCAGACGTGGGCAATGACCTTTGGCCCGTCGCCGACGGGCCGGGTCGCGTCCCCGACCACGTAGCGCAGGGCGGCGTTCGGCGACCTCTCTTGAGCCGTGGAGGGCACCGAGTCGCTTGCATCGTCCGTTTTGCAGCGGCCGTCCGGCATCACTGCCGGCGTGGGTGTTGTCGGGCAGGCACAATTGCTGTGAAGGTTGTCCGGGATGGGATGGACCCTGTACAAGGTGTTTAGAGAACCTGAACACTTCGGCAGCACGCATGACGTGGCCACACGGCACCATGGGTCAGCGGCATTGTCACTTCCTTAGTCACGGCGATGCCCCCAATGTACACCCACTCGCAGCAGCCCAATCCACACATGACGAGTTCTGTTCCACCCACCCTGGAGTGACGACATTCTTCGAGACTGAGTACTCATGTTGGATAGAAACAATTTTTGGGACATTGAATTGCCTTGCACTTTGTTGTGAGCTTGCGTAAAGTCCACATCTCTTTTGGAGGGACTTGAGTGGCACTTGTAGTCTTAAAAGAGACCTAACATTCGGGGAATTATAACGTCCATCCCCACAAACTGAATTAGCAATTACTGCTATCATGGTTGTCAGCAACAGCGTGTGTCAAATGGCCCGTGTTTACCCTTCATCCAAAGGGCGAATCCAGGTTTTTGAACCATCCCTGTGCTTCCTTTCTGCTGGCTTGTCCTGCTGTATTTTACTTGTGTATTCCTACTTTGCATGCGCTTAGGGATGTTAATGTGAGGATACGGGTCCTTCTTACCTTGAACCCTTTCCCATAGACACAAGAGAGCGGGAGTGCTCGGAAGTGGGCGACGACAGTATTATTGTTGCGGCCCTGAAGGGCGCCGCTGGTTTCCGAAGCTTGTGGGGTCGCCACGCCCTGCGGCTCGGCTGTTGGAGGTCAGCCGGCCCTCTCCACCGAATTCGGTGGGCGGTAGCGGGGCGCTCGTTCCCTCGAATGCGCGGTGGGCCCAGAACGATGGGGATCGTCCCCCGGGGCCTGCTGTATGCGGCGGGTGGAGGCGCAACCAGGCGGTGGCTCGCTGGTCGTGGAGAGACCAGGCAATGGGCCAAGATCGAATTACACTCATGACCTGCATGCGCCTGTTTCAGGACCTGCATGCGCGCGAGGCCCGATCGCGGGTCCCTCGCGGTCACATCAAGACAAGACAACATACAACAATATATAATGTATTGTAAGGTGTTGTGCGCATGTGTCCCCGTCCACCATTCACCTAAATCAGCTCCTTATAATCCCCGATGCTTCTATCTACCAGTCCGAATCCCATGCTAAAGTACTGCAACTTCAACTGGCCATGACTTCGCCATTTCTACACGGAATTGGACGTTTCAAGGTGCTATTGGCATCAAGACCCACTTTTTCCACTAACCATCGCTTCAGAAATGCCAATTTTAGCCTAACCCCAAGTAACCACATCACAATTATTGATTACGATCAAGCAATAACTTCTTGAATTAAAATACAATGAACAAAGCACTTACACCTCACAGGCGATGAGGGGCGCAGAGATACCCCATCAATGTTTCAAGATTTCACAAAATCAATTTCTGAGTTAACTGTGCTGTGTAAACGATGCTCAAAGCGTAACAGCATTTCCACTTGCGGTTCACATAAAAACTTTTGAGATTTGCCAAAAACGTCTTGGCGCTGACAGACAGTCTGGGTGGCAGCAATCGTTTGCCTAGGTTGTGGCGTCTGTCAAAGTTCCTTAGCCATCCCGGTTCGAGGTCCCGCTCGTCGCAATCGAATGCAGGCACAACGATGGGCCACAACACAACACAAGTCAAACCGTTTTGGTTCGACCTCTGTGGCAACCTTGGTGCACGCGGTGCTCAAACTCATTCGCCGTGCATGGTCGGACAAGCAGCCAAGACTCAACTTGTCTTACAACCAAACCAAGAGAAGCCACGGACAGTCTCGGGCTCTCTTTAAATGCTAGAACGCGCCTCTTTTTTCGCCAACCAGCACTCACACTTAGAACGCCAGATTTGAACTCACACTTCACACACGCACAACACGCTACCCCACAGCACCGGCCCCTAGCATCGACCCATGGCACCAACCCACAGCTCCAACCCACAGTTCCAACCCACAGCTCCAACCCACAGCACCAACTCATGAATACCAAAATTAGTAAGATTGAAGCTGATTGTTGGCCAGCCGTCTTCCCGCCATCTCAATCAGGTCAATGTGTGCACCAGTCAGCCAGCACATGGACAGGGGCTTGCACAAAATGGCAGCTGCGGCTGTCTTGATGTGTCAGACTTTCATCTCTTTAAACTGGTTTTTTAATATGTATTCACTTCTCTCATTGAGTTTCACTGCACATCCAGCCACCGACCTTCAGTTCTGAAAACTGGAAAGTTGCATGTGAAACATTGAGAAAAGGTGACAGCCATTCAAAGATATTGTTGATGGCATTCCTCGAAGCGGGATTCTCATATGCCACCATTTAGTCACCGGGCTGCAAATCAGTAATTGAAGGAGGCAGATCAGTGGTCAATTACTGGTAATTCGAATAGCGTCTCAATTGATGCAGACAGGGATGCGGTTTATGGACGCGGTGGTGACCTGCCATAGGCTCTTGTTACCCAGAGCTACCGGTAGTTGCGCGTCACAGCCGCGGTGGCAACCATGGCAGAGCGGTGTTGTGCAGTTTCATCACCAACGTAGAAAGAACCAACAGTGCCCTGAGCCCATTGGATAATGGACGAAACATAGGCGCTTCGCCCATACCCTGCGGCCTAGGTCAAGAACAGCATTAAGCGCACAGAGCGCCTGATATTCATCCCAATGTCGCCCATGTGTCCAGCAACTCCAAATGAACCTTGTTAACGTAAGAATTAAGAAGCCAACTTTTTGTTCCCTGCCTGCACAACACCTTTGCTTGTTGCACTGATTTTGGCCTTGCGCTTGTACGGGGAGGAAGAAGGGGATTGGATGGGGCGGTGACACTTGCAGAACAGTGGATCAGCGGGCATATGATGGAAATACTGGAGGGAACAACAAATCTCCAGGACAATATGGTTCTGGAGGAACGAAGCTGGGCTTGACATCTCATGAGATGTTCCTGATCAGGGAGACAGTGAAACACTGAGCGGCATTCTTAACATGATTAACGGAGGTTAATGAGCGCGGACGCGCCAGGACCGCGTCTGATGGGTTAAAGTGCACAGCACGGAGACCGAAGCTATCGCTCCTCGCGTCAAGTGCTGCGGGCCATAACCTAGCGCGACCGCCGCCGCCAGCCTGCTGCGGAAGCAAGCGCAAAGGATGGTAAGCACGGCGGCCGGGAGAGCGAGCCGCGCTAGCAGGAAGCGGGGAGAATTTTGCGACCAACCCTCTCGCATCGCGGCTCGCCCACGGGCAGCCCCGGCGCACCGTCGGCCTGCCCGCACGTTGGGTTCGCAACAAATCGCCGGGGGCGCCCCATCCTCCCGTGGCGTTTGCGCGTCGCTCGGGCCGCGCCCTTCGTTTTCCGCGACCGCGGCACGTTGCGCGCTCAGCCGGCGCGCATACCGGTCGGGCGCGGACCACCTCCGCCATTGGCGGCGCCTAGGTTCTCTCCAGCTACGCTCATCGCGCACGGGCCGGCTCAGCCCGCCCACCGGTACGCCGGTCAGGAGCGCCCGCGCACGGCGGAGCCCTGTGACGGTGAACACCCGCCTTGGGTGACACCTCTAGTGTCGTGCCTCAGCGCCCCGCTCATCGCGGGGGCGATTGCGCAGCGCACATGGCGCTCTGATAGCTCACGGCGGTCCCCCTTCTCAGGCGGATCACTTTGACCCCCACATGGAGGAGTTGGACTACGATGAGGCTTCCCCACGGGGGCCGGGCGCGACGCCCGAGCCCCTGGAGGCAGCGGCCGAATGGGAGCACGTCCCTGCAGAGATCGTTGACCAACCCTCAGCGGGCGAGAGACCAAGCTCATGGGTGGAGCATGCCCAGCCGGAGGGACAGATAGAGCGCACGGGCGCCAACCTGACCGTCCCGCGTAGTGGCAGGTAAGCCTCAACGGCGTGGCGATGCGCGGCAGCCTCATCGACTCCAGCATTTTCGCCCAGCGCCGCCGCCGCTCGGATCTCGATCAATCCGTGCCCGAGCCGGTGCGTGCCTCCGGGCTGCGAGCCCTTCGCTTAGCGTGGACGCCGCTCACCTTCCACCGCTCGCTTGCACTACGGTCGTGGGCTTCCATGGCAGGCGAGCTTCGGCGTCACACGGCCTCGCGTTAGGGGCGTACTCCAAGGGGGCTCGAGTATTCGACGGTGTCGGGATCCCGCACCCTCTTTTGTCACCTCGTTCGCGGGGTACATGAATGTATCGCGCCGGCTGCGGTCACCCCGCACGGTGACGTCACGCCCGGTCTCCAGTGCCATCTCTCGTCACACAGGTGGCGCGATGGCGGAGGCCAGCTCTCTGCCCCAGAAGGACCCGACGCCGCGACGGCCGAGTTTCCGCTCCGATTCCATGACATCGAGCAGGAGTTCTCAGTGGCCGACACTCTCTTCGAGGTCGCCACCGCGCGCCACCTTGGGCCGCCTCCGCGACCGCTACATCTGCTCACCATGACTCTCTGCGAGCACATGGGCATGGTCGACATAGTTCAATACGCTTCACACGAGGTGTTGGCCCTTCGCCCCGCCTCTTGCCCGCCGTGGGCGACGCCCATGGAGGCGGCTCATCGCCAATGGT